ATGTACCCTTATGACTGGTTTTGTGGTCCAGGGTCACAAATGTAAGAACAGAATACAAGATATACAAAGAAGGAAAGAAAAATAAGATGAGGGAAGAAAATGTGAAACTGAACTGATCTCACCTGAATAGAATGAAAGCCATAGTCCTTTTGATGCTTCCCTCTAAAAAGAAATTAATTCATTAGTTAATTAGTCAAATAATTTACACTAAATATGCACTTCTCAAACTGTTAAGATCAGGCTGAAAGGGATATTCTTTTTTAACATTGTTTCAAATGCTGAGATCCTTCAGAAGAATACAGAGTGCAGAGCAGTAGGTGCTACACAACGAGAAACAGCTCAAGATTTGACCGTCACAGACTTACTCTTATGTTCATTCTTCTGGAGTTTAGGAATAACATATCTGTTCTACTTCCTCCATAATTTATGACCACTAAATAAGCATCATTGCACTGTAAATGTGGGCAATCATATTGTAATGTGTTCAGATTTCTGATGTCAAAGCTCTGTTTTACAAGCTAGTTTCAACAGATGGTCTTTTTGGACTAGGAAGAAAGTTTTGAGTGCAACCCATTTAAGTTCATTCTACTTCCCAACATACATAGAATTGCACATAATGTATTTAGAGGGTTTAAATACCTGTAATCAGCTGACGCCATATTTTCAGTAGCATTTCTATCAGGCCCTTGGCATTCCATTGGCTAGATTTAAAAGAAAAAACAACACATGTATCTTCTTAATATGTTGATAGTAGGATAAATAAAAGTTTTTCACTACAGCAAGGTGAAAAAAGTGTGCTAATGTTCAATCCTATGACCTAGGTTGCATGTACAAATTTGCAGCAATCAAATTCATGGTTAGCGTCATGTTTAACAGTTTAACAATTTAACCGGCCAGTAACCACTAAGTGTAACTTCCAACATCTACAGTCTAGTCAGTGAAGTCAATTTTAAATAAATATAGTGGCCACTTGAATTCAGTAATATAAACTTTCACTTTCATAATTTAAACTATCATTGAATTGCATCATATACAGTAGGTTCCAAATGTATGAGGGTACTCGTTAAAAAGTGTGCAAAAAAAATCATAAATTCTAGAGTAAAACTATTTGAATGAAATATAGATTTAAAAACAAATATTAAGTTCATAATTTCTTAGTACTTCATATTTAACATATTTAGTCTAATACTAGGTTTACTCTAAGTTACATTT